GTTGAAGTGCCTTAAACCATTCTTAAACCATATATATATATATATATATATATATATATATATATATATATATATATATATATATATATATTAAACGATTTTTATCTATACGTTCTTTTCATAAATATAAATATTTAATAAATGTCTGTTTATAATAAACAGTATTATTGACATTTACCGGCCGGAATGTCCGAGAAATTTTCAAAGAATATATACATCCTCCGAAAATTTCTCGGGCATTCAAGCCGGTAAATATCGTTAATACTGTTTATTTTAAACAGAGCATTTACTTAAATATTTGTATCTATAAAAAAAAAGAACGTATAAACATAAATAAATGTCTTAAAATAATTGTAGGACTTTGTCCATTTCATATGTATGTGTGTGTGTGTGTGTGTGAATTAAAAGAGAAAAACTCTTAGACGACTTTTTTTCTTCTTGCTTATTATTCATTTTTCCTTAATAGATATACTCTTTCTGAATATATATATATATATATATATATATATATATATATATATATATATATATATATATATATATATGTAAAAGAAAGAACAGTAACATATATAATCCGGTGTTCTTATAGATATTCTTATTTTTACAAAATAGTGCTCAATGTAAATTTACAGAGCATTAATATTAAAAAATGATTTATTTAAAATATGTTTTTTTTTTGCTACACAGTTCTAACCATGTTTCAAAAATGGAAGCTAAAAGCTACGAATTTAATTTTGTAATTAAATTAAAGACATTAGTTTCATTTCATCCTCAAGCGAATTTTGGGGTAACTTTTAAAATTACTGGGTTTTAAAGACACAGCAAAAATCATAATTCACGTTTCCAAGGTTACAGATAAATCTACTTCAACTGGACAAGGGGTGTCTGGGTGTTCATTATGTCTGTATTATTGTATCCGATATTAGTTACGTTTTGGTAAAGGGTAGGGATGTATTTTTCAATGAAATCTGACATCCGTTGAATGCCTGTCGTCTGTTTTTTTTTTTTTAATTTATTGTTAACGGCAAAAATTCTTACGGCATTTTTTTCTATTTGTATATTTAAAGATTTTTGGGGGTGTTTAGGTTAGAATACGTTTTATTTAACTACGATTTGAAATATTTTAATTTTTAATTTTTAATTTTTATTATACTATATTTTTTAAGAACAATTAAATGTATTAGAATTCCTTATAGTATGTTGAATTATTTTTACATCAAGTATAAGTATGTATATTATGTTACAATATTTTTTTTTGTATTTAAATATTATTTAAGTAAAATTTATGACAATGACGGCAAAAATAGTTACTTAGTTTCACTGATTTAGTAAACTTTCATTTTTTATATAAACCTAGTAATATATTGTTTGTCATGCAAGTACAAAGAACATGGGTCATTCAAAAGCTTACATCTTCTGGCATTTCATATTAATTTTATTTTTATTTTACTGTAGGTGATTTATTGGATTCTTTTAAGTGCATGTAAAAGAAGTTTAGGTTAGAATTCATTTTATTTAACTACAATTTTAATTGCAACTTTAAAATATTTTCATTGTTAGTTTTAATAGACTATATTACTTTATAATAGAAGGAAATGTATTAGAATGACTTATAGTAAGTAAAATTACTTTTCCATATCAAGTATATGTATATTACGATTTTTAAACTTTTATATTTAAATATTATTTAAGTAAGATTTATGGCACTTACTGCAAAAATAGCTAATTCATTTCTCTGATTTAGTAAACTTTATTTATTTATTTTATATGTATAAACTTAGTAATATATAGTTTCATATGTATGTACAAAGGACATGGGTCATTCGACCAACCTACGTCATGTAGCTTTTCGTTATAATTTAATTTTTCAGTCGGTGTTTTATTGGATTCATTTCAGTGCTGGTAGTACTTTTTGAGAGGTGTTTAGGTTAGAATACATTTTCTTTAACTACAATTTTAAAAGATGTTTAGGTTAGAATTCGTTTTAACTACAATTGCAAATATAACTTTAAAATATTTTCATTGTTATTTTAATAGACTTTTTTTTTCCATAAAGAAAAAACAGGTAAATGTAATAGAATTACTTACAGTATATAAAATTATTTTTCCATGCTAAATATAAGTATGTATATTACCTGATCGCACCTTTTTAAATTTATTTTTATTTTAAAATTTTTAAATATTATTTAAGGAAATTTTTTGACAATGACGGCATAAAATAGCTATTTCATTTCTCTGATTCAGTAAATTTTTATTTTTTATAAACTTAGTAATATATAGTTTCTTATGTATGCACAAAGGACATGGGTCGTTTAATGACCTACATATTCTAGCTTTTCTTATTAACTTCCATTTTACTGTAGGCGTTTTATTTAATTCTTTTAGATGCCAGAAGTATTTTGAGAGAGAAGTTTGATTTTTATATTTATTTATCCTAAATGAACTTTGATTTGGTTGAATCTTTTTTTGAAATCATGGCTAGTGCAACCTATATATATTTTTATGTTTTCAGGACTTTCAATCGAAGAGATATTGCATTGGTATACTAATGATTCCGTGCGACATTTATTTTGTAGAGGGCAACTATGAGGGTTTCTACAATTACATAGTTTTGTTTATTTTCATCAGTTTTTATCTTTATTTTTCCATTGTCTAAATTTTTTTGGTTTTGGTATAAGTGTTTATTTAAGATATTAGCATTATGGTTCTTAATATTTTTTTCTAAGTTTTCCGTACAGCTGTAACTTAATTTTAGTGTGTTTTTATTGAAAATAGTACTTAGTTTACTTTCACTAGCTTGACTATTAATACGAGGAATTTATGTCCTAATTTGTTCTTTACCATTTGGTTGTATGGGAGAGTATACCAAATAATTTTTCTACATATATTTTTTCAATGCTTTCCATTTTCATTTTTTATATAAGTTAGTTTTGGGTTTTTGTAGCCACTCTCTTTTAGAGCCTGATTATAGGAATTGATATGCTCATCGAAAATCTTGTCATTTGCTGAATTTGTACTAACTCGTTTACTGATAGATAACGGTATATGTTTAATCCTAGATGGGGGGTGATTTGATTTTGGGTGTATATATAAAGGATTGGTGTTAGATTTTTTATAAGGTGTGTATGTATTTTTATTTAGATCTCATGTTATATCAAGGAAGTCCACTTTTTTTAATTTAGTGCTAACCGTAAGTTTTAAGCCCATGCTTTTAAATTCTTTATATAAAACCTTTCTAATTCTATCTATTTTGAAGTTAGTTGAGTTTCTAATAACCATAAACCCATCGTCTCTGTACAAACCAATGTCATTTATATTAATATCATAGTGCACTGTAAGGGTGTATAATATAAAAAGACCAATGAGATCAGAAGGCTCAGCTGAGTCTAGTGATCCCATTGTGATGTCAGACACCCCTTGTCCAGTTGAAGTAGATTTATCTGTAACCTTGGAAACGTGAATTATGATTTTAGCTGTGTCTTTAAAACCCAGTAATTTTAAAGTTACTCCAAAATTCGTTTGAGGATGAAATAGAACTAATGTCTTTAATTTAATTAAAAAATTAAATTCGTAGCTTTAGCTTCCATTTTTGAAACATGGTTAGAACTGTGTAGCGAAAAAAAACATATTTTAAATAAATCAATCTATATATATATATATATATATATATATATATATATATATATATATATATATATATATAGAGAGAGAGAGAGAGAGAGAGAGTCAGATGTCACAATATATCTATATATTTATGTTTGAGCGGAATCGACTTGAATATCGGGATGAAATGCGTGCAAATATCAAAGAAAGTTGACAGCATGCTGTTCCTCTCAATGATAGCCTTCCACCGTTGTTTTTGTCGCTCCCGGTAAAGCAGAACTTTCTGTCCCCTAGCGGAAACATGTGGCAATTTATCCTCAAGCACTCGAACCAAAATGGCTCAACTACATGTTCCATCTCTCTAAAAGTTTGCAAAACACCTGCAGGCCGTACATTACCATAAAAAGTTGGGCAACTCCTTATTTTACTGAGCCCTCCTTTGCCGTCCACGTTGATAGAGACTCTCATATATATATATATATATATATATATATATATATATATATATATATATATATATATGCTCCCTGAAAAATTTATTTCGGTTGAGCTCTCTGGAAGGAAGTGTGAGTTTGTAAACAGTGACTATGCGGCTAATAATGCAAGACTCTTCGTTAAATCGAAGTCACTGTGCGTTTATCGAAAAATAAATACGCCTAAAATCACCTTCATTACTGCCTTGCGCCAACGGCTTTGCAATAGAATCTTCGCCTGATGCCAGTTCAGTCGGGTTTCGATCTTAGCTAGAGGCAACCGGGCCTCTAGCTACACTGATGATCTGTGATACAGAAAAACAGTCTGTATGTGGTTGACTATATATATTTATATATTACTAGTGGGGACATTCTTGTCAGAAATTCTCTTCCCCTTTATATAATTTGAATTATACAATTTTAACTATATCAATAGCTGGCATTAATATCATTTTATTATAATTAATTATATTAATAAATATATCGGGAAAATATCCTCTTTCCAAATGAGCTGATAGTCACCAGGGAACATCCAATCGCTTGATAAACATTTAATCCGAATCAGAATCACGAGGCTATCTGCACCGAAATAATAAATATAAACTCTGTACTGACGCCAGTAATCCAGAAATAGGTATTGAACTTAGGCAATCAGCGATTGATGAAACGGAGAAGATGAAAATGGAGAAAGGCAAATTAAGCGACATAAGGACGCGACGGTCTTATGGATTTCTAGTCATTATCCCTATGGAGAAACATTGACGATCTGTAATGATGCTAAGCCTTTGGAACACTTGTTAACTCCCCCCCCACTGCAGAATAATAAGACCCAGTTATGGATCATAAGCATTGCAGTTCATAGCATAGTGTATGGACAAAAAAAAAGAGTAACGTATGCACATATTTTCTTTGATTGATATACATTTACGTAAGAAGAAAAAGCGTAAGGAAAACGAGGAAGTGAGGGGACATCCGAGGTGGGGTAGTTGAGAGGAAATCTGAGGTGGGTCGGTGAGGGGACATTCGAGGTAGGGTCGGTGAGGGGACAATCAAAGTGGGGGAGATGAGAGAAGATACAAGTTGGTTTAGATGAAATGACATTCGAGGTGAGGTAGATAAGGGGATATATGGGGTGATGTAGAAGAGGGCATACGTGTTGGGGTAGATGAGGAGACATACGAGGCGGTGTAGATGAGGGGACATACGTGTTGAGGTAGATGAGGGGACATACGAGGTAGGGTAGATGAGGAGACATACGAGGTGGAGTAGATGAGCGGGCATACGAGGTGGGGTAGATGAGGGGGCATACGAGGTGGGGTAGATGAGAGGAGATACGAGGTGGGGTAGATGAAGTGATATATGCGTTGGTGTTGATGAGGGCATACGAAGTGGGGTATACTATTCACTGTTTCTAATGCTACGCATAAGTATCATTTTATTTCAAAGAATTAGCGAAGATAGAGACATATATATATATATATATATATATATATATATATATATATATATATATATATATATATATGAGAAAAAACCAGCCAAGATATCTTATAACTTAATTAACAACCCAGAAGTATAAGGTCAACAAAACAGTGAAGTAATATTCAATAATGGAACGTTTATTGGTCATCTCTCAAGCAGACAACAAACCAAGATATTTTAATCAACTCCATCCCTTTCAAGCAAGTAAAGCCATTAAGTCACAAGGGTTTACTGGGTGTGAAAGTGTTAGAAAATTGAAACATTGTTAAAGAGTGAGAACAATAGATGAGTAGAATAGATGACCAAGGAAGACAGTAGATAACAATTGACATTGCATTTAAATTTTTGAAGATTAAAGCTGATTGGAAAGCAAGAATAGTGTTTCACAAGGAATAAGGGCGATAAAAGAAACTGTTAGAATAGAACTTACGGTTACCACCAGCCAATCCAACTGTAAATTGATGAAACAAAATATTACTAATCTAATAGTTCGCTTAAATTCATAAAGTTTTGGTACCATATAGAAGAGTTCATCCGAACAATTACCATGAAATTATTTATAGAAAAGACACAGGGAAGCAATTTTATGTGGAATTCGAGAAGCCAGGTCAGTATTAATAATATTGCTGATTCTTTGGGTTTTATCAAGAATGTATAAATATATAAAAAGAACAACAGACCATATGTGGCAACAATATTCAATGCATTATAGATATGTCAAATTTCTAGCACCACACAGTGAACCAAAGCACCTGACCTAGCAATGGATTCAATACAGTCTTTCTACTTCATGTCAGCAGGGAATGTTAGCCTGAGAAGGCACAATGCGGAAATTTCTCTTAGGTTAGCATCAGCCATGCAGATTGAAAGCTGAAATGGGTCTCATGATTAATGAAGAACGGTTTTGTTTTGCAGGCATTAAAATTAACAAGCCATTCTTTGCCCCAGTTAACAATTGATTGTAGATCATTTTTTAGATCAGCTACCAATTTGATCTTATCGAACTGATCAGACTTACTATCGAGACAGGGGTATATAATTGTGTCTTCAACATAGATGCAAAATCGAGAGCTGAGTGTTGGTTTTTACGTCCCTTCACGTTTTAGAGCAAGCCTACTTGCGCACTAGATTGGCAATGGTTAAATGAGCTTAGAAAAGCCGTTTCAGATATTATCTAAATTGCTTCCATACTGACTATTGTTCTCTTCATGCAGCCGATGCGCTCTCCGTACTTCGCAAGACTATGTCGGTCTGGGTAACCTAAAAGGAATTTCGAACTGAACCCTTTCTTTAGTCTATGGCGTAAATTGTTCTTATTCCGTAGATACCGCTAGATAAATGAGTGTTAAGTGCGAAATTTCTTTTAGGTTAACGGGTTGGACATATATATGAGAAATCCTAGACGCTACAACGACCGAAACTTTGTGATATCAATTGTAAAGATGGGAAAAATAATTTCGCATATATATGATGAAAATAATGATAATTAGTCATGCCAGAAATTATGACAGGCAACGAAATAAAAATATTTTTGATTATGTTTACAAAAAGAAATCGTAATCAATCTTTTTTTTATTGTTTACAGATATATCAACACCTCTATGGGTTATTCATAACCGAAGTCTAAATATTTTTACGCAATTTTATTTTTAGAGATAGTATTATTTTAGTGATACTTTCATTATCTGTCTATATTTCTGAGATGAGGTATTATGTACACTATTTATATTATTCGGACTATTGTCCTCAACTTTGTCGCCATATTTATTACAACGTTTCGGCCTTTCAGTATCTGTCTATATTTCTGAGATGAGGTATTATGTGCACTATTTATATTATTCGGACTATTGTCCTCAACTTTGTCGCCATATTTATTACAACGTTTCGGCCTTTCAGTATCTGTCTATATTTCTGAGATGAGGCATTATGTACATTATTTACATTATTCGGACTATTGTCCTCATCTTTGTCGCCACATTTATTACGTTTCAACCTTTAAGTATCTGTCTATATTTCTGAGATGAGGTATTATGTACACTATTTACATTATTCGGACTATTGTCCTCATCTTTGTCGCCATATTTCTTATAACGTTTCGGCCTTGAGGACACATGGTACAGTTGATAAAGGCGTTGGTTAGATCCTGTGACAAGACCCAAACAGTGTGAGTTCAATACCCGCTTAAGGCAGTGAAGAACTTGGAGAGGGAAATTAACAGGAGATAATTGACAACTGACATCCATTAGACATGGCACGTGGAACTAGAACAGTCTACCCCAGTGAGCGAAATGATGGGTCCAGTTTGATATTCCAACCACCAGAAGAACGGCTGTAACATTCCAACCACCTGTACAACGGCCGTAACATTGTAATAAATATGGCGACAAAGATGAGGACAATAGTCCGAATAATGTAAATAAGATACAAGACTTACTAATTAACCTATAATTGAGGAAGATGAGATGGATTTATAACTTTCCCAAGAGTATTTGCCCGTCATTTAATATAACGAACCCAACAGGAAGTGGAACGCGACTCTCCGATTAACAATTCCGAGCCATTATTCATTACACCAACCGCATATCCAAGCTTACAGCAACTAGTATTCTTAAGCAGTCACCGTTCTAGGCACTGATTGTACTGGAACCAATGTTTCAACATGATACTGACGTAAACCATGGACAATGTAAATAAGGGAGTAATCTTAGGCATTGTAATCTGACATTGTACCTTTGGCATTCGCAAAAGAAGCTTCGGATATTTGTGGTCCTTGGATATTTCTAGTACTTGCCCACAGACCCAGTCGGAGAAACAAAGTAATGCTACGGTTATAGTCATTGTCAGAACCGTTCGCAGAGAGTGACCAACCTATTATTCGAAGATTATTCCCAAGGTTGCATTGCAAAAATCGTTAAGATACGGAAAACCGATAAGATCAAAAAACGGACGCAGTAAATTTAAAACATCCACCGACTTCATCTAGTATAACGGAAAGGTGCCAAAGTTATATATGACGATGGATGTTTTGGCTATGGCAATTAGTTAGTACGAGACATATTTGGTGTTGTATATAATACAAACGCTTATCACCATAAAACTTCACACAATCAAAGACAACAATTTTTTCCCATATTAGCTGCAAGAGAAAGGAGACATTATTCAGTCAGCAGACAACATTTTTTTAAACCAGTTCATCTATACCACCGAGCAGGAACCGATATTTGGCCGGGAATCTTTTGGTATTGGGCTGTACAAAAAGATTAAAAAAAATTTTTTTGCCCATTATATTGACTCTTGCCGTCTTGTTTACTGTGTTTCGTTATGCGCGTGACCGACACCCCCCACTCCGGTCCGTGAAAAATTGCCTTGCAGGGCATAAGCACCGTCACAATTATTTAAAACCAGAAAATCTGTTTTAGAATCTTTTGAGATAATAATAACTTACTAATGCATATCCAACTAATTAACCCATAGCTAGGGGGAGAAGAAGTGGATTCGTGCATTTCTTAAGGGTATCTGCGCGTAAGGGAATATAAAGAACTCGACTAGAATTGGAATTCGGCGCTCTTATTTCAACTCTTGAGCCATAATCTATTACACCACCCACACATCCCGGTCTAGAAAGCCCCTGGTATTCCCAAGCAATCCCTCATCTAGGTATTGACTAGAATCTGCCTAACTTCGATGATTTTACGAGAACCGGTGTTTCAATGTCATATGTTCATAAGTCAAGTAGACAGCAGATCATAGACGAATTTGTTTGAATAAACAAAGACGATGAGTCATTCATGTGTGAGGCATGGCTTTTAGGAAAATAATTTGAAACTAAGAGACTCGATTAGTCTCAATAAGTAAATAGGAAAGCTAATAATCGAGAAGAAGGAACCAGAAGAAAGGATAAAATAAAGAAAAAAAATAATTAAGGAATTAATAGGTATTCTAATGGGAAATACTTTTCTAATTAATAATTACACATGGCAAAGTGAACTCACACATGGCAAAGTGGATAAAGGCGTTGGTTAGATCCAGTGACAGACCCAAAGAAGGTGAGTTCAATTCCTGGTTAAGGAAGTGGAGAACTTTCAGAGGGAAAATTAGCAGGAGATAACTGATAACTGACATCCATCAAACATGGCACGTGGAATTAGAACAGTCTGCCCCAGCGATCGAAATAAAGGGTTCAGTTCGAAATTCCAACCACCTGAAGAAGGCCGGAGCGTACAACGGCCGAAACGTTGTGACAAATATGGCGACAAAGATGAGGACAATAGTCCGACTAATGTAAACCGAAATTAAAAGCCAAATTTGCTTAAATTTGTTTTGGTATATACACCCTTGAGCAAATTAATTGAAACAATAAGAATAATTCTGTTATTATTTAACATTTTTCGTATTTTTCTAATGAAACCTGAGCCAGTGCACATCTTAGTACTTCGTATGCACATTGCACGAAGTTGTTCCTTGCAGATTGACCACAGATTCTCGATTGGATTTAAATCAGGAGAGTTTCCAGGCCTATCTATAGTATTTCGATTTGCTCACTGCAATATTTTTGCCAGTGTGTTCGTGTGGCGTTACAATTTTCGTACGCTTCCTTGGAGTAACATCCATTGAAGACAACGGCCGTATGATAACTAATCGACAGTCGAGACAATAGTGCGTGAACGTGATGAAAATCTGATGCAATCACGGAAGACGCAATATTTTTCAAGGCCAAACAAATTTCACCATACACCCCAAAAATAAATTTATATTACTGCACACCACTGCAAATTACCTAATCTGAGGATGAATACAAATGAAAAGCAAATCACCTAATCTGAGGATAAAATTGATTGCACTCGAGTGGGTCTAAAACTGACCGTAGATAAAAGAAAGGAAACTCAAGCGGTTGTCTCAAT